ACGCTACTGCGCTTGCGCTAAGACAACTCTCTTATAGGTCAAAAAAAGCGCGCTTATATAAAATGCTTAAAATTATAAGAAAACTTTAATAAAGCAATATAAAAATATTTTCACTATTGAATTTTTTTTTTGTTATAATATTGCTTCCTAATAAAAAAATACTAATTTCCTTAATATACTTAAGTATATAATAATAATAATAATAATAATAATTTTTTTATATTTATATGATTATTGTCATTATTTTTTAAATAAAATATTCATAATCTATTATTATTATCATCATTATTTTCAATAAATTATTATTAAATATCTATATGGATGTATTACATCTATATATTTCAAAAAAAATGATTCGAATTTTCTTTCGTACTTTTTTCCCCAATTCAAATTTTCTCATAAAAAAGTACAAAAAAAATTTCGCCAAATTTTTGAAAAAAATATATATGCATATATCATAGATAATTAATTAATAACAAAAATAAATAATATATTACATAATTAATTATTAAATATTAAATTGATGATAATAATAATAGATTATATATTTTATAAAAAAATAATAATATAAATATAATAAAATTATTAATATTATAATTATTATTTTTACATACTTAAGTACATTAGGTAAATTAATATTTTTTTTTATTAAGAGCAATATAATTAACCAAAAAAAAATAAATTCAATAGTGAAAATATTTTTATATTGCTTTATTAACGTTTTTTTTTATTATTAAGCATTTTATTGGCGATTCAAACAGCTACACTAGCGCCACAGTTGAACTAATTTAGGCGTGACTCGCTCTAAAGCAGTCTCTGTTTTGACATTTTATTTCAAATTATTTAATTATTCTGATATTTTTATTGCGTTTGTAAAATTATTTTTAAGCGTTAAATAAAAAAAAATAATTTAAAACACATGGAGTGCTACAGAGCGAGTCACGCCTAAATTAGTTCAACTGTGGCGCTAGTGTAGCTGTTTGAATCGCCAATATAAGCGCGCTTTTTTCGACCTATAAGGTTATTCAAGTTGAGTGGGGGAAAGCCAAGATGGATGATGGCTGGTGCACAATCAGCCTATCAGCATTCATTCCTACGAGAAATTTCTCGTGGGAATGAATGCTGATAGGATGTTTGTGCACCAGCCATCATCCATCTTGGCTTTCCCCCACCCAACTTGAATAACCTTATAAGAGAGTTGTCGTAGCGCAAGCGCAGTAGCGTTTAGGTAGGGTCATTGGCAACTCTGGCGGGCGGCCACATTCTCATCACGCGCTTCGCGCGTAGGGGCTCGCTTCGCTCGCTAGTTTGAGCGCGCCCCGGTGCGCGCGAAGGATGTTCGTCCCGCTTCGCGGTCCGATATTGATACACGCTTCGCGCGCATTATTTCAGCATCGCGCTACGCGCTTTGTTTGTTTATTACAATTCAAAACCTAGTAGAATTAATTACTTTTTAACTACACTGTGTAATTCAAAAATTTTTCAATTACATTCAAAAATTGTAATTATTATACTACCAGAAAGTAGTTGAAAGACCCAAGAATACATTATCCCGTTTTGCGTTCCGATATTGATACGCGCTTCGCGCGCTTTGTTTGTTTATTAAAATTCAAAACCTAGTAGCATTAATTACTTTTTAACTGAACTGTGTAATTCAAAAATTTTTCAATTAAATTTAAAAATTGTATTAATTATACTACCAAAAAGTAGTTGAATGACCCAAGAATACATTTGGTAGAATGAGATTTTGTAGTTGTTTCAGACTTTGTAGTTGATTTCATTAATTTTGAAGTAAAATCAGGTACATGATTTAAAGATAAGCATCTATTATTTCTATTTAAACATTTAAAATTCTGAAATTCTATTTTTATTTTTTTATTCAGCGACCCTGAAAACCCTCGAGTAACGATTTTCAAGCAAATTCAGTCAATTTTTAACTTCATGTCCACCATATTGAATCCGCCATTTTGAATTTTTTAAAACTGACATCAGATTCGTATTCAGCGACCCTGAAAAACCCCCGGTACCGATTTTCAAGCGAATTCAGTAAATTTTCAACTTCAAGTCCACCATATTGGATCGGCCATTTTGAATTTTTAAAAACTAAAGTCAGATTCGTAATCAGCGACCCCGAAAACCCCCGAGTAACGAGTTTTAAGCGAATGCGTTGACTTTTTATTTTTTCGTCCGCCATATTGGATCTGCCATTTTGAAATTTAAAAAACTGACATCGGATTCGTATTTAGCGACCCCGAAAACCCCCGAGTAACGATTTTCAAGCGAATTCAGTCAATTTTCAACTTTATGTCCGCCATATTGGATCCGCTATTTTGAATTTTTAAAAACTGACATCAGATTCGTAATCAGCGACCCCGAAAACCCCCGAGTATCAATTTTCAAGAGAATTCAGTTAATTTTTAACTTTTATGTCCGCCATATTGGATCGGCCATTTTGAATTTTTAAAAACTAAAGTCAGATTCGTAATCAGCGACCCCGAAAACCCCCGAGTAACGATTTTCAAGCGAATTCATATGAAATATAATTGTAATATAGTGAAAAACCAAAGGTGGGTCACTGAGCGACCCACTGTGACGCAAAGGGTTAAGGTCATGTTATTCAGTGATCACATGATAAAAAGAAAAAAATCGATATTTCTTTGGTGTAAGATTTCTCTTAACTGAAATGGAATTTTTTAAAAATATTTTCAGAGATGAAAGAGAATATATTTCTCAAGGGTTTTCTGGTGTGTTTTTTATATTTTGTTAAAAAAAATTTTTTTTTTATTTATTATTGATTGGTTTTTTCGGTGTAAGATTTCTCATAAATGGAATGGAATTTTTTAAAAATATTTTGAGAGATGAAAGAGAACATATTTCTCAAGGGTTTTCTGGTGTGTTTTTTATATTTTGTTGAAAAAATTTTTTATTGATTTTTTAAATTGAACCCGTATTGTGAAAGTACTGGTGGTAATTAATCGACATATATGTAGGTAGTTTTGGTTAGTGTAAAATTCCTCATAAACGGTAAAATATTTTAAAGAAATATTTTCAGGGATGAAAAAGGGTGATTTTTCACAGGGATTCCTGATTATTTTATTTTATTTAGTTGAAATTTTTTTTATTGATTTTAGTGATTGAACACGCAGCCGCAAAATGGATAGTGTAATCAATCGATAAATCAAGTAGTTTTGGTTGGTGTAAAATAACTTTTAAACGGTGAAATATTTCGGAAAAATATATTTGGAGATGAAAAAGTGTAAACTTATATATTGATTTCTGGTTATTTAACAATATTTTGTTGCAAAAAATTATTTTTTTAATATTTATGTAATTAATATTATTGGAGAAGATTACAGCAGCGCCTCTCGCGGCCTAGTACAAGCGGTCGCTAATATAAGATGGTGGTAAATCGACAATGGTAATCAATCGATAAATCAAGTGGTAATGATTTTTGCTGTTGTTCAAGATTTCTCCTAAACGGTTATATATTATGAACAGAAATTTTCAGTGATGAAAAAGGATAAATTTATAAAGGGATCTCTGGTTATTTCGCACTGTTTTGTTAAAAAATAATTATTTTTCATTATCATTGTGAATATTATTTTTTCGATAAAACCAGAACAGCGCCTCACGAGCATGCGCACTACGTACATGCGTACGCTACGGTCGGTATTATAGGATACCTGTTTTTCATGAAAAGTTTTCACAATTCAGATAATTTCAGTCTCATTACAAACAGTAATCATAACCTAAAAGTTGATCAAACTGACAGTTGGAAAAAACACACAATAATAAATGGAAATATTTAATAGATTTTAGATGGAGGAATTATTAAAACATTCTTTTTTTAGATATGACACTAGAAAATACTATTTTCTATTTTTTTAGAAGTCATATTTGTTTAAATCTGCTAATAATTGAAATAAAAAAAATTATTCTCCAAAATTGTAATAAGACTCTTTAAAACAATTAAATTATTTTCAAATATTTTGAGAAAATTTTTCACCAACAATTCAATTATTTTCATAAATAATAAAATTTGTTTGCAAGAAATTTAAATATTTTCAAGAATATTTTATAAAATTCGTTGCAAGAATTCCATTATTTTAATAAATACTAAAATTCTTCGCTGCGTTTCAATTATTTTCAAAAATATTAATAAAATGTGTTTCATGAATTAAATTAATTTCATAAATAATAAAACATTTTGCAAGAAATTCAAATATTTTCAAAAATATTCATGAAATTCGTTGAAACAATTCAATTATTTAAATAAATAATAAAATTTTTCGCTGAGTTTTAATTATTTTCTAAAATATTAATGAAATGTGTTTCAAGAATTCAATTATTTTCATAAATTGTAAAATTTTTCCCATGAATTCAATTATTTTAAAAAACTAATAAAATTCGTTTGAAGAATTCAATTATTTTCATGAATAATAACATTTTTCACAAGAATTCAAGTATTTTCCAAAACATTAATAAATTTCGTTGCAGGAATTCAATTATTTTCATAAATGATAAATTCTTTGCAGGATTTTAATAATTTTTAATACAATTTCTAATAAACTTGACGAAAAATGTAATTATTCTTAAAAATCTTATCAAAATTGTTTGAAAGAATTTAATTATTTTTAAAAATTTTCATAAAATACTTTATAAGAATTCAATTACAAGAAAAAATCAATGATTCAATTATAGAACTTTCTAACAACAATTTAGTTAGAAATGGATTTCAAATAACATTTTATACAAATATTACATGCGTTATGGTATTAATTTTTAGAAATAATTAGATTCTAAAAGATTTTTAATTGTCTGTCTGTCTGTCTGTCTGTCAAGTAATTTCGGGTTCGAATTCAATATCGAGAATAAGAAAACAAGGATATTTTACATTAAAAAAATATATTTGCTTAAATGTTACATGTCTAGTGTAAAAAAAGGAATGTTACAGGAAACAGATCAGTTCAACACAATGAGAGATGCAATATTGATAAATATACAATGCAATTTTTAATTGTCATTTGTATAAAAAGTGTTTTTTTTATTTTAATTGAAAGAAAAAAAGGAAAAATTATTCTTAGAAATGTATAGAAATTAGGTTCTAAGACCTTCCACACTAAATTATAATAATTGAAATTCACTGGGTTTACAGTTATAAGTATACCAAATCACTGAATTACCAGTAATTATTAACTGAAAATTAGTTAAAATGCAATGAGAAATCAGTGAGTTGGTATATTTAAAGTATACAAGTGAATTTCAGTGATTCAGATTTACAGAGTGCGATATGAAAAATTATCTCACACAGAACCAAAAATTTGATGGAAGTTAAAATTAAAAAGGAATCTCACATACAATAAAAAGAAAAGTTAGTCTAATGTCATAATTGGTATATTTATATATAATATTGATAGAAAAAGATTCATTGCATTTGAAATTTGTTATGGTGGAAGCGTGATGAATTTAATTTCGACCATTTTAAACAATTTAAAGTTGCATTTGAATAGAAATTGTAATGTTCTGTAAGTAAGAAATATTTTTTGTTCTTGTTGACAGAAAATTATGAATTTTATTCAAATGCAACTTTTAATTGTTTAAAATATTGAAAATTAATTTCTTTATGCTTCTAGTGAATAAAATGTACAAATCAATTTAACTTCTTCATATATATAATATAATTTGCTTAAATGTTACATGTCTCGTGTAAAAAAAGGAATTTTACAGAAAACAGAACAGGTTTGACACAATGAGAGATGTAATATTGATAAATATACAATGCAATTTTTAATTGTCGTTTGTATAAAAAAATTTTTTTTGTTTATTTTAATTATGACATTAGACTATCTTTTCTTCCGATTCTTTGTCGGATACTTCTTTAAAGTGAAGATAACCTTTGGAATCTTTAGTTCAGAAGCTCGTGAAACTAGAAATAAATCTTTAAATGTTCGCAGTCTTTCAATATTGAACGAAGAAGTTTATTAAAATTGCATAAATGTTTAAAAAAAATTTTAATTTCTAATAAATTTTTATAACAAACAGAGAAAGTTGGAAAAAAGTTGCAAAAGTTTGAAAACTTGACATTTTTTTCAAAATTTTAAACTTTTATGCAACTTTTACACACAACTTTATAAAACTGCGTACATTTAAAGATTTGATTTTAGTTTCATGAGCTTTGGAACTACAAATTCAGAAGATTGTGGTCAAGTTTATTTCAACTTGCAGAGGGATTTTTCGCGGCTGTGTGTGGATGAACTATCAATCCGTGTGATGTAAATAATAATAAGAAGAAGAATGTTAATTTAATATTTTCTCATTTTCTTTTTCTCCCTTTCTCTTTCTCTGGCTCTTTCTTCTTCTCTTTCTCTGGCTCTTTCTTCTTCTCTCTCTCGTTCTATTGTTCTTTCTTGTTCTCTTGCTCTTTCCCTTGCTCTCTCTCGTTCTCTATCTTCCTCTCTATCTCTTTCCATTTGTCTAAAATCCATTTTTAGTCTTCGCAAACTCTTCTCCAGCTCATTCACCCTTTTTTCTAAATTCCATACCTTCTGTAAAAGAATAAATAAAAGTCATTATTATTTGGAATGCCAAAGCTTTGCATAGAAATTTATTTTTATTATTTTTTTTCATTATTCAAAAAATTACTTTGAAAACAATTTTATGATAATATTTAAATTATCTTGATACAGTTTAAAAATGGAATCAATTTTTTGTGACAACCCAAAAATTTTAATTAATTACAAATATCTAATTATATGTAAATCAGGCTTCGCACTCGATACATATCAAAAAGTAACTTTGAGACTGAAAAAGTAGTAAAAATAAACTATGGCATAATTGAATAGAATGTAAAAAACTCGTTTTAGTCGATTCACAAAATTTTGATTCATTAATTCCCTGACTTTTTACTTATTTCCATAAAAAATATTAATAAATATTATAATATAATAATATATATATATAATATAATATATATAAAAATAATAATAAAAATAAAATAATAATATAATTATAATAAAATAATAATAAGTAATAAAATAATAATAAATAATAAAATATTAATAAATATCTTTCTTATCCTAATAAGTAATTTCAATACTAAATTTACATTAAACTCAATTATTTTCCAAATTTTTAATTACAATTCTTCAAAAATACGATTATATATAAAAATAATTTTTAAAAGTTAAAAAGCAAAATTTATTAAAACAAAAAATACTATTACAATCAAATTTAAAAAAATTTCAAATTAACTGGTAATTTAATTAGATCTATTTCAATCATTTAAAGAATTTAACATTCTTCATAAAAACTTAAATACAAGTATTCAAAAACAAAAATTTTGTCTTCATTATTAAATTAAATTATTAAAAATCTGAATATTTTATATTCAATAAATTTATAAAACCTTTTTAAAATTTAATTATTTCTAAAAGTAACTGTTATTTTTTTAGAATTCACTCATTTATTTAAAATTTTTAACTAAAATTATATGTAAAACTTTATTAATTTTTTTGGAAAATAATAAATAATAATAAATTATTTATAATAAATATTTAAATTAATAATATTTAAATCTACAACAATTGCAATTTTTAAAGGCAAACAATTAAATTCCAAAAGACTTTAGTCTTTTGGATTTTAATTATTTATAAAAATGTATACTATAACACTTCTGATATTTATTATCTAAACTATAATCTGAAGTTCATTTCAAAATAATTCTTGTTAGAATGTTATACGAGAATTAAATTATTTAAATTCAAAAATAAAAAATTGATTGAATCATTGATTATTTCTAAAAATTGAATTCTCATTAACTATTTTATCAAAATCTTTGTAAATAGTTGAATTCTTTGAAAAAAAATTCATAAAGTTTTCAAGAATAATTTCATTTATCGAGGAGTTTATTAAAAATTGTATTAAGAATAATTAAAATCATTCAAATAATTGTAATATTTTTAAAAACAATTAAATTCTTGCAACGAATTTCATTAATATTTTTGATAACAGATGAGCCAAAAGTTTTGAACGTTCATATGAACGAAATTTTTTTTTGCAACTATTTAATTTAATTATTTATTTATTTATTATTATTTATTTAATTTAATAATTGTTTAATTTACTGTTTTATTTTACAATGCCATCATAATTTTTAATAATTTATAGATTGAAAAAAAATTTCGTTCATTTGAACGTTCAAAACTTTTGGCTCATGATAACAGTTGAATTCCTTGCAACGAATTTTAATAAAAATTCTTTAAAATAATTCCCTTCCTGAGAAAAATTGTATCATTTGTGAAAATAAATGAATTCTTTCAACGACGTTTATGAATATCTTTGAAAATGATTGAAATCCAGCAAAGAATTTTTTTATTTATTAAAATAATAGAATTCTTGTGACGAATCTTAGGGGCCATTCAAGTATTACGTAAGCACATTTTTTAAGTTTCCCCCCCTCCCCCCTAGTAAAATACTTTACATACATTAGCGCCATTTTTTCTATTAACTATAAGCAACAGCTAGATCCCCCTTGCTCTCAAGGACTTACGTAATACTTGAATGGCCCCTTATTAATATTTTAAGAAAAAATTGAATTCTCTCAACGAATTTTAATAAAAGTTCTTGTGAAAAATTCAATTCCTGTGAAAAATTTTATTATTTGTTAAAATAAGTGAATTCTTTTAACGACTTTTATCAATAATTTTGAAGATAATTGAAATCCAGCGGGGAATTTTATTATTTATTAAAATAATAGAATTCTTGCGACGAATCTCATTAATATTTTTGAAAATAGTTCATTTCCCGCAAAGAATTTTATTATTTGTGAAAACAGTTGAATTTCCACAAATACTTTTCTTAAAAGATTTGAAAGTAATTTAACCTTTTTAAATAACTGTATTACAATTTTTGAGAATAATTGTTTCATTTCAGTTAGTAGCTGATTTAAAGTAGTGTAACTTCTAAAAAAATTGAAAAAAGTAACTTTTAGTTCATAAATCTAAACCAAATATCTAAATAGTAGTAAATCGTTAAAAAAAGAAGTAAATAGTAAGTTTTAGTAGATAAGTGCGAAGCCTGGTATATAATTTGCTTTCATTTAACTTAAAAGGAACTTTAATAATAATCACTCACATTTGAATTGTCCCTTTTTTGTGATTGTTCCTGCCTGGAGTAATCGTACCCGGAATATACAGGTCTCGATGTTTGAGGTTTGTTTGGTGGGACTGTTTGTGAGATTGGATGCGCTTGTGAAGTTGAGCTGGATTGCGCTGCTGGTTGAGGCAGTGCAATATTGTTTTGCTCTTCTTCCCATTGCAGCTTCTGCTGATCGAAGCGCTCCTGCTGCTGCCGTAGTTGCTGTTGGTGCGCTTCGATCTTCTGCTGTAACAACTGCTGCTGCTCCACTTGCTGTTGGAATTGCTGTTGCAGCTGCAATTGTTGCTGTTGTTGTTGCAACTGTTGCTGTTGTTGAAAATGTTGCTGTTGTTGAAAATGTTGCTGTTGAGTAATATGGTGAGATTGCTGCGGATGAAAATTTTGATGGTGAAACTGTTGTTGTTGCAGCTGCGGTTGTTGTTGTGTCTGCTGTTGTTGTGCCTGCTGGTTTTTTTATTTATTAATATTTAAAATATTATTAAATTAAATATTATTGGATTAAAATTAAAAATATAATTAAATTTTTGATATTTAATTAAATAATTAATTAATAATTTTAAATTAATCATTTAATTAAATATTAAAAATAAATACCTGTTGTTGTTGTAACTGCTGTTGTTGTTGTAACTGCTGCTGATGTTGTAACTGCTGTTGCTGTTGTAACTGCTGTTGTTGCTCTGTCTCCTGTGTCTGTTGTTGTTTCTGCTGCGATGTTTGATCTGTCTGAAATGAAAAATGTTTTTAATAGTAAAAACGATTGAATCATGAATTTCGAAAAAGGCTCAACTTTGAAAATCGTAAGAGTCATTTTCAATAACAATTTTTATGTGAAAATCACTCTTACGATTTGCAGAGCTGAGCTCTATATCTAAAAGAATTAACTTACTACTTTAGGTACCGTAGTCTTCCCAGAAGAATTTCTTCCCATGATTTATTCTGCAATAAAAAAATAATTTTTTTATTTACACTCAAAAAATTTTCAATTTCACTTAAAAATAGAATTTTTGTGCAGAATTAAAAGTTAAAATTTTTTGGATGAAAGTGAAAGTTACATGAACGCAACTCTGATAATAGCTATACTTTTAAATTTTTCTAAAATACAATTATTTTCCAAATTTTCAGTTAGCATTTAAAAAATAATTGTATTTGAAAATAGCTTTTAAATATAAGAATACATTTATTAAACTTTAAAAATGATTTCAATAAAATTTGACAAAAAATGTAGAATTAATTAATTGGAAGTTTAATTATTTAAAATTATTTGCGAGAATCCAACAATCTTCAAAAAAGTCTAAAACTTGAATAATTTTTGTTAAATAAATATTTAAATAATTGTTTATTTTTCCCGGGAATTAATATTTTAAATACTTTCTTGAAATTCAACTCACTTCTATATGAGGGGCTGATAGTAAAAGTGATCTAAAATAAGAATGGGAGCAAAAACGGATTAAAATGAATCGTGTAATTTATTAATAAATTCATTATATTGTCGATTAAAATATATAAACATTAGTAAAAAAAGGCTTATTTTATTATAATTAATATTTTTTAATCGATAATATAATTAATTCATTAATAAATTACACGAATCATTTGAACACGTTTTTGCTCCTATGTCACTTTTCCTCCCAATGTTTTTTTAAACCACTTTAACTATCAGCCCTTCATACAAATATAAAGCTTCTAATATTCCATTTTTATTTGAAAGTCTTAATTCATGAACTTTTTCAACAAATTTTCATAATTTTGATAAATTATTGCTTTTTCGAGTAATTTAATAAAAATCGTATTGAAAATAATTGAAATCCTGCGAAGAATTTTATTATTTATCAAAATTATTGCATTTTTAAAAACAATTTTCTTAAATTTTTAAAAAAAATTTTATAACATTTATAATTTTTTATAAAAATAATTGAATTCGAACAACGAATTATATTGAAACTTTTAAAAACAATTGAATTCCAGAAAAAAATTTTATTAGTTATGAAAATAAATTAAACTCTTGCAACGACTTTTATTAACAATTTCGAAATTCATTGAATTGTGGAAAAAAATTTCTTATTTAATTTTATTTGTGAAAATAATTGATTTCTTGTGAAGAATTTTATATATCATTTTTTCAATTGTATTTTTTATCAAAAATTTTGTAAATAATCAAACTTCTTTGAGAAAAAATAATTACAATATTGTTTTGAAAAGAGATAAATTTTTATAAACAATTTTGATCAATATTATTAAAAATAATTGATTTCCTTTGGTGATTTTCGTGAAAATTTTTGAGAATAATTAATTTCTTCCAAAAAATTGTTTCTCATATAACTGAATTTTTGTGAAAAGTTATTGAAAATAATTGAATTTTAGGGAAAAATTTCATAATCAGAAAAATAAAATGTAATTCTTGTGAAAAATGTTCTCTCACTTTTTAAAATTAACTGAATCGTTTCAAATAATTTTATTGCAATTTTTAAGAATAATTTTTTTTCAATTATTATCTAATTAAAAGTAGTGTAAATTCTGAGAAAAGGAAACAGTAGCCTTTAGTGTCACAATACTAAACAAAAGTATCCAAATAGTAGCAAATCGTAAGAAAAAGTAGTGAATTGTAGGTTTTAGTAGATGAGTGAGAAGCCTGTTATTTGTAAAATGAAAAAATAATATAGCATTCACGAAAAATTGGATCTGCATTTAAATAAATAACGGGAAAAAATATTAAATGGAAAAAAAAGAAATAATATCCTCACTTCAATTTAGAAATAAAAGTAATTAGATGACAAACAACATAAGAAAAATTTAAAGAAATAATTCATTTACGTGGAATTGCAGTAGAGAAAAAACATTCTATTATTTCCATTTTAATGGTGTCGACACTAATTGTTGATGAATATTTTTCGGGGATTATTTAAGAAATTAGTATAATATACATAATGCATAATCAATGTAGTCACATTGATTATGAATAAAACAAAATATTTAAATATACTTACCAAATTTATTGAGATCAGTTTGGATGAATAGAGACACTTTTCCTTCTATTTACCACGAGACAAACGCCGAAAAGGAGATGGTAATCGCGTGGCTACACTGCTTGGCTATAAAGATGTAGTAATTTTTACACTAGCGCCACTGCGCTAAATTTGAATAATAACCGGAAAGATGTATCACATAGACACAGGTATGTTTGGATTAGTGGTCGCGCGTGCCGCTGTAGAACACAGGCAAAGGAAAAACATAGGAACGATACGCTGAATGTAAACAGAAGCCGGCTCGGATTTGTTTTGAGTGTTTGTGCGTTGAGACAAGTTCGGATCGCAAAACTGCTTCAACGTACGGTCGTGCATCTAATATACCTATATTAGAAGTGTTACCGTTTTATATTCAGCACGTTTTAACCAAATTTTTTATTTTACTATTTTCGTAAATAGTGAAATTTTGATAGTGACGACAGGACAGGAGATTTGAATAGTGGGTTAGTGTTTTTAATCCTGTAAAAATATTTAAATTGAAATGGAGAAATTAAGTGAAAAAGTGTTGGAAAAAATTAATGGACAGGAGAAAAAAAGCGAAGGACTGGAGGAAAAAAGTGTTAGACTAGAGAAAAAATGTGAAGAATTAAATAAATCCTATAAGAGGCACAGTGGCAAATACAGGACTAGTGGAAGAAGAATGTCAATGAATAAATTGGCAAGATTAAGGTAAATAAATTTATTAATTTCTTTAATAATTTTTTAAATTCTTAACTTGTAAATAGGCAATATTTTGAAAAACAAATTTAATTACTTCCTTTGATTTTTACTTTCATCTAGAAATTTTTTTAATCCCAATCAATTTAAAAAATGTCTTGAATTTTACTTATATCAGTAAATAATAAAAATGATTTTAAATTTAATTCTAGAATAACTCTTTTCAGGTTAATTTTATTCAAAATCATAAATAATAATTCATAATAATTCATTGAATTCAATTAAATTGAAAAATTACTTAATTAATTAATTACATTGTATAATTGATCTTATTTAACTAATGAAAACTTTAGTTTGAAAAATTCAAATTTTCAAAAATAATTATTAATTTTGGAAAACCTAAAATTTTGAAAACATCAATTTCTGTGAAGAGATTAATAATAATTAAAAATGTTATTTTAAAATCTATTCAAGTTTTAACATCCAAGAAATTTATATTCAATTGTTCAAAGATACTTGAATATTTAAATAATCTTATTAAAAAATTACTTTTTCTTTGATACAATTTGTTAAAAACTAATATTAAAAATTATTTAAGCTTTAAGGTTATGTTATTGAATAATATGTCCTTTAATTCTTTTATTATACTTCTAAACATATTATTTTTGGAAGATACTTTAATGCAATTGTTTGAATATTTCTGATTTTTTAAATAGAATTTTGTTTAAAAAAATACTACATTAATTAAAATTTTCTCAGGATTGATACATTATGTTTATTACTAATTTTAAAAATTGTTCTAGTTTTATATAATATAATTAAAATTCTGATCACATTGGATTTCGAAGGAATTTTATTTCAATTGTTTGAAGATACTTGAGTATTTAAATAATTTTATTGAATAGTTACTAAATTGATTGAAATTTTGTTAAATTTCCTATGATTGATAGAATTTGTTAAATACTAATATTAATAATGTCTCAAGTTTTAAATACTTTTATTGTAATTCTGAAAACATTGTACTTAGAACGAATTTTAACTCTATGGTTTAAATATTTCTGAATTTTTTAAAGAATTTTATTTAAAAAATTACTAAATCGATTGGAATTTTGTGAAATTTTCTCAAGATTGATAAAATAAGATTAAGGCGCCTGTACTCGATCGGAATCTATTGTAGATCAATGGATAATAATTAATTCATTGTTTAATTACATAGGTATAAAGAGTTCATAATATTGTGAATATATTTATGTATATTACAAATTTTATATTCATACTGATTTATTTAAACTATTAAATATTAATTATAGCTAATTAAACGATTACTGGTTCTTATCTAGAATAAATGCCGTTATTTCAATTGTTTATAGATACTTGGACATTTAAATAATTTTATTATTAAGGTCATGTTATTCAGTGTGACGTATTTCAATAGTAAAGTATATGGAGCACGTGACCACTGTATAACATAACCTTAATGAGAATTTTGTTAAATTTTTCTTAAAATAATACAATTTATTGATTAAACACAAAATTAAAATTTTTTGAAGATTTCAATAAGTTTATTAAAATTCGGAAACATTGTTTTTGAAGGATTTCCAATTCAATTATTCAAATTTTTATAAATAATTTAAAGAATTTTATTGAGAAAATTTCTAAATGAATTGAAATTTTCTCAAAGATTGAGACACCCTGTTAATTAGTAGTTTTTAACTAACAATTGGTAGTTTTTTAATAAAAATTGATCAAATCTATTTCTAATTCAATTAGTGAACGAATCCGCATTTTTTCATTAGTATAAAACTACTAATTCAGATTTAAAGATTAATTTATGGTAATTAAAATGAAACTTTTCAATTTTGCTAGAACTCTTTAAATCCAAATTAGTAGTCTTCTACTAATAAAAGAGTGCGGATTCGTTTACCAATTGAATTAGTAACAGTATTGTCTAATTTATAATAAAAAAAATACTAATTCTAGTAAGTCGTATTTTTGACTATTTCAAATTAGTAAGCTGGATTTACTCCATGGATTATGTAGATATATATTTCTTTTGTTCTAAAACAAATGACTAAGAATTTTGTACCAAACTTGTAAGGAGGAATAAAAATGATGTTTTTTTCATTTATTTCTAAAAAAAATATATATAAAAATATTTTAAAACTTTCTAAATATTGTAATAAATAATTTCCTTTAAAAATATTATCAAATAAGTTTTGTAGATTTTTAATTATAAACGTTAAAAAAATATTAAAATACCCAGGTGGAAAAATTAACGTTAAGGTCATGTTATTCTGTGTGACGTATTTCCATAGTAAAGTATATGGGTCACGTGATCACTGAATAACATAACCTCAACTAACGTTAAACTGACGTTAGGCTAATGTTTGCTAACGTTAGAATCCAAAAAAATTCTGCACCATTTTTTAACGTTAGCAGTGTTAACTTTTCCACCTGGATAATTCGAAAGTTGTGAAATTATTTGAGAATAATAGTTTTGTTTTTCAATTTTAGGATAATTTTAAAAGACTCGACAAATTTTTGATAAATTGAAAAATGATTGATTTCCATGAAATTTTAATAAAAATTCTAAATAATTAGAAATTAAAAAAGGACCCCGCAGAAAATACATAATAATTTATACCATTTCCATATCTCAATTACAATATTTACAAAAATTTAAGATTGTTTTGAAAGCAAGAAAAAAGTTTTCATAATTTCTATTTGTTAATGCCAATATTGTATAATTTTGGGAAATAAATGAAAACACCATTATTATTTCCTTCTCACGATTTTGATAAAAAATTCTTAGCTGTTTGTTTTTGAAGGAAGGAAATGAATTTGCATCATTTACATTAATTCTCTCTAATATGAATTCAAAAAATAATAATTATACATTATTATATAATATACAAAATAAATGGATAACAAAAATTGATTATAAACTTGTTATTTTTTTCAAATATTGTTTTAAAATAAACAATCAAATCAAATAAACTTTATTTGATTCAAATAAAAATTTTATTTTTATCAATAAACATTTCATTTGCATCATATAATATATTTATTCGAAGCAAATAAATATTTTAGTAGGCTCTGGGACAAGTATGCTTATTTTTAACTCAAATAAGTTACATTTGTTTTAAACAAAATTTTTCTCTAAGCATGAGCCAAAAGTTTGGAACGATCACGGGAACGAAAAAAAAAATTTTTATTTTATCCAAATATTTTCCTGTAAATAGCTTAATATTAACCCCAATATGGAATATTTATTTATTTATTTATTTACATGTAAACGGGCTTACAAAGAAAGAAGTTATTAGAATATATGTAATAAAAAATAAACATTTTTGGTTTTTAACACAAAAACCACCCCTAAACGTAACCCTTCCATACTGTCATATTCAAAGTGTTATAACACCTGAAGGCAATCGTCGATTTAAAAAATTCCAACGCAGGAAATTTTCTAAGAATGGTTGAAACAATTATTCTCAAGTGAATATAAAAAGAATTGTTTTATTTACAATTTTTGAAACCAATATTTTTTTCAAAATTTTCGTTTACACATTTGCAACAATTTACATCAACTACTTTAATAAAAAACCATAAAAAGTTAAAGTTATAAATAATGTCATTTGATGCGCCGCGCCGTTGAAAAAGAGAGAAAGGCTGCAGAGTCGAAGTATTGCTTTAGTCATGATTAGCGAAGAGAAAGGAGAATTCTGGGCGGAGCATAGGAGTAGTGGCCTTGAAACTAAAAGCCGAAGAAAGGTTCGTGCGCGCTCGCAATACTTCGACTCTGCAGCCTTTCTCTTGTACTTTGCGTCTGTTCTGACACACCGAACGAAATGAGTTTTGCCTATAACAAACGCTTTTCCCTGTTTACGAATCAACGGCGCGGCGCATCAAATGACAATATTTATTATTTTAATTTTTTATGCTTGTTTTTTAAGTTGTTGATGTAACTTGTTGCAAATGTTCAATCGAAAAATGTTTAAATAATATTGGTTTTATAAATTGTAAATAAAAATTTCTTTTTATTATTTTCAAGAGAAATTAAATTTTATTGTAATTAAAAAATAGTATAATTTCTAAAAATACTATTTTTTAACTGTAAATTAAAAAAATAAATTAAAAAATTAAATTGAAAAATTGTAAATAAAATAATTCTTTTAATTATTATTTTTAAAAGAAAATAAATTTTAATGTAACTAAAAAATAGTATAATTTTGCAAAATACTATTTTTTAATTGTATATTAAAAACTTCAATTAATAAATTAAAAATTCTAAATATAAAATTATTTTAATTATTTTTAAGTAAAAATAATGGAAAGAATTTTTTTATTTACATTTTTTGAAACCAATATTATTTTCAAAATTTTCGTTTACACATTTGCAACAATTTACATGAACTACTTTGAAAAAGCCATAAAAAGTTAAAGTTATAAATAA